GTCGCCGACGACGGTGTTGCCAGTTTAAAAAAATTCGCAAATTTTGGGCAAATTATGGTAAAAAAACATTGAGTTGTAAATTAAAATAACATTTTTATATTCATTGATAAATTTTTAGTACTTTCATTAAGATACCTACGTGCTCAATTCGAATCGAATTGGGTTTACCTTACAGTTATCAACAGTTAAGACTTCTAAATAATAAAGGTACACTAAAAAAAAATCAACGCAATATCAATATAAAATCTGACAAAATAAAAAGCATCATATTACGTTCTTATAATAATTTATTGCAGACACAAACTTTCCAGTTCAGTGACCCCGCCGAACTGTTTTGGTGTACGACCCACGTTACAAAAACAATACCTAACCACGTATTTACAGTGAACTTACGACAACTTAAATCAAAATAAATAACCAATTTCTTCTAATAACCGAGTACGAGTAACTAAAACTAAGTTACATTTACATAATATATATAAAAAAAAACTTCAAAATCTTTCGTGTCGTGTTAAAATTATACGAGATCATTGTTTTTTGTGTAGAAACGAAAAAATAAAAAGAAAAAATCTTGAACACATCTGGTGTGGTTCATTTTCTAACCAACAATTTGTAATTAAAAACTTAAATTTATACACAAAGCACCACCGTGAATTTAAAACTGATTTGAAGTCACTGATACGCCTAATTTCGATTTTCATATTGAATATATGTAGGTAGGGGCACAATATGGAATGCTAACTTTGATAAGTTTTTTTTTTTTAAATAATTTGACTTTTTGTAAAAGATACAAAATATAATTCATATTTTAAAAAAATGTAATTATTTGTAAGCAAAACTGTTTAATTATTCTCATTTTGTACATCAACTGACACTTCATTTGTACCCATGGCAGTGCTTCGGTTACATTTAAGAAACAACAAAAGACATTCAGCTGTCCAATTGCACATTATGCTTTATAATCTAAATTTAGACAAGCGATCAAAAATTCTAATAAAATAGATAATTTAAGTTACTTACACATCTTATAGAAAAAAGGTAAGGTTGAAAAGTTGATGACATATTGTAAATTTTACTTTACCTTTGAATCAAGTTCTCTCTAAATATGTATAGAATAAAGTTCGTATAGCATCAAATTCAGAAATCTGCTTGACGGTAGAAATTGGTGATACTTACTATAGGCGATAACTACAAATCGGTTGAAATTGGTAATACCTGCTATAGGTGATAACTACAAATTAGTAGAAATTGGTAATACCTACTATATGCGATAACTACAAATTGGTAGAAATTGGTAATAGCTGTCTGAGTAGGTATCACCTACTTACAAGTAATCCTTATAAGTTACAAGCATGGACCTACTAAAAAGTCCTGATAATAGTTGTGTCAACGTCAGAACAATTATTTATATGCCAAGCAAATACTTGTTCCATGTGGGATCAAACACGCAGCTTGCAGCATTCTATCTGAATGCGATTTCAATTTGTTACGCAGGTTTAAAAACTTTGATAAGATAATCTTTAAATTGAAGTGGTTTTATTGCAAATAACTTACGAAACCATGACTCTAAAAATTGTATTGTACACACCTTAATAATATTTAAATAGAGGCAGAAAAGAAAAAATAAATAATACAAAGTGTGCACACATCGCCAGCGTTATGACGACTGCGTAATTTGTGCTATGCAATGTTCATGTGACTTTAATAAACTCACTTTAATTTTAACAACGAATATCAAAGTTATTGCAAAACAGATTCCAGATTTTTAAAGAACAAAGTAAATTTTACAACATGCCTACTTATTATAAACTACAGAAATAAAATTTAACTTAAATAAGATACAAAGTTCCACACGAGTTGATCACAGTTAAAAATACTTTTAAATTTACACTTTCGACCAACAAAGAAAGTAGACGGAGCGATTCGTACATTTTAAGTGACGCCGAAATCATGTTCAACTTGCTGACATGCACTTACGCACACATGTCTTCTTTATTTCATATGCATCTACAACCATGTTGTTGGCTACAAATTACTTAAGATAAATATGCGCGCGTGAGGTTTTACAATAAACTGAGCATGATCATAGCTTTGTTTTGGTGTCCCTTCAAATGCACTTAGTGCTTTGGGCTTCTTTTTTTGTTGGTTGAGATTTACACACTAAACGAACTTTGTATTCTATAATTGCACAGATGTTGTGCAAATAGAATTAACAATAACAATTGCCAATTACATGATATCATTGTTATGGCAACGTATTTATTATTAGAATTAAGCAACACCATAAATGTTGCTGAAAAGATGGAAGCAAGGATAATTTTTAGTTTTTATTACTTTTGCATGACTTTAAAATGCCTGCTTGTTATTTAATTTATATCTTGTGTACGTTATATATTTTAATCACATAGAACAGATAAAATACAGTTATAAAATAATTATTTATAAGTCGCGTCAACAAAAGAAAAAGCTGAAATTACTCTCTAAAATTCTAAACAAAGTATAACCAATAAAAATAAATTAAATTATAACTAGTAAATAGAAAATAAATCATGGCGTAAACTATGCATATACTAAGTAATAAAATAGTTTTAAAATAGTGCACAAATTAAGGTTTCTTTATAATATATTTACTCCTGTTAATTTTCAAAGACTTTTTTATTTCTATAACAATATTTTCAACAAATAAGGCGCCATCTTTATATCAATATATATAGTCAAGCCTGAATCAATGAGCAGTTAAAAAGTTCAAATTATGCTACTTAAAATAAATTTAGTCTACACTAGTAGTAAATCATTGTCAATTGTTTTTGTGTCTGGCTTCAATTCACCATGCCAGCATATTTACTAAAGTAAACAAATTTAAAAGATGTAGAAACATATTTTTAAAGCAATGTCAAAGTTAAAACAGAAATGTATATACAGTGAACACAAATAAAACGTGGCAGTGACACAACATTCTAAACAAACACATTAAAAAAAATTATGACTCGGAACGCACAGTCAAAAGTCGACCTTATTTCCACATAGTTTTGGTTTTAATTGCCATACATTAAGTAAGTAGCTTGCAACGGTTATTATATTACGCGCTTGTGGTCGTCACTCGTCGCCAGATACCGTACCGCACCATCACATCCTATTAAAGTCCACAGCTGAACATAGGCCTCTCCCATAGATTGCCTCATGGGGGATATTTGCAATAGTTGCTACACTTGGCAAGCAGGTTGGCAACCGCAGTTTTTTTTTTTTTAGTCCTTATTAGGAATACATTGCTTTCCATCTACTGATTTGTTTCCCTCTCTCGCCTCTTACGACACCCACGAGATTATATTGGGTAGTGGATATTCTTACACCGCCGCTACACGGTAAGCCGCCACTGACATTTTTATATAATAAGATCCAATACAAATTATTGTCACGATAATTAAAGTCGTTCGGAGCGCAATTGGTAAGCAACGGCTCCGTGGCGTAGTGGCTTAGCAATTAGTTGCTGCGCTGGGGGCCGCGGGTTCGAATCCCGCACGGAACAAGTATTTGTATGGCCTTCAAATAAACAAATAATTTTTCCGGGTCTGGATGTTTGTCCTTGTGCAATTTGTGTTTGTAAACTGCCTCCACGATACAGGAGAAAATCGTAGTGTGGGGGTAACGTTTTTCAAAATAAAAAAAGAATAAAAAAAAGAATGCCTACAAGAGCTTAAGTTGTGTTGAGTAATTTCATGGAGCATGGAATTCTACCACGTTTTATTTACGTCCACTGTGTATAAAGGATTTATGTAGCGGGGTACCAACACTGAAGTGTCATTCATTAATTTGACTAAAATACTCATAACTGTCTTTGCTGAATGACAGACTTTACTCACGTTACTCTTTGTCTTTGAGAATATTCAACTAAAATTTTAGATACATTCAAATACATGCTGCGATAAGTATAACCAAAATTTTACTTGTTACTTTTGTAGCCTGCGGAATTTCATGAATGTCAAGAAAAAGAATAAGCTACAGATTAAAGTCTGTCAACTGCCGCTAAATTCATTAACAGTAAAATGCTTCTCTATGCCATTTTCTCGATTTATACACACTTGGTCCTGTATTTACAAGATAAAATTAAATTTCAAATTTAACTAGTATTTACAAGCGGCGACTTGAAAAATGCGTGGTTAATAGATGAAAAGAGTTATGTCACTTCAAAGGTTTTATCAAATAATTTTGCATGAAGAATCTCTGCACGATGAATATTTTTTACTAGATGATGGTACTCTTTTTATATCTAGGAGTCCATTTAGGTATGTGCTACACTCTTACCCATTTCTAATGCCAATAAGCAGCGAATGCACTGCTGTGTTTCAGTTTAAAGGGTATAGAGCCAGTAAAATCACAGGCTGTGAGGCATTCCATCTTAGTCTCCAAGGTGACTACGCATCTGCAGCCTTCATTGTTTAAAGTTAGTTGCAGGTGTTAACGGGATAGGGCTTAGTAATCACGTACCATTAAGTGTACTAAAAGACAGTATGTTTGTCTTGCTAATGAATTAACCTTTGCCTTAAAACAAGGGTTCTCAAAGTTATGGAGTCTAGCAGCAGGCTACAAAACGACGAGGAGATGGCCCACCTAATAAGAGCGCTACTCAATATCAGGTGGGATATCTGCAAGTGCTGAACGTATTACATCATTACGACTTATCATCCACTATTTGAGTAAGGGAATACCTAAGACTCATCGCATTGCCCTTGTCCCGTCGTAAATGCACACATCTTCTTTTGTGCAGTTACGGGCGGCAAGCACCTACTAAGTAAAGCAGTTTACGAACATATTATTTAAGGTAAACAATATACCTATGTTTAGACGACATGAATTATAAAATTTATATGAAATTGTAAATATAAAAAATATTACTTATTGATTGTTACTTAACTGTTGATCCTCCAGCAAAATCACTCTAACATGACACTTTTCACTATCAACCAAAATTTAAATGTCACCAGACATACAAAAAAACTAACCTACGCCTCAGTGGCGACCGGTTCCCTCGCGTGATGAATCTTCACGTGCTTATTGTGGTTTGACTTATTGCTTGACGTTTTACCGCATATATTACACGAGAAGGGCCTGGCCCCACTATGCACTTTCATATGTTCGGACAGGTAATAACTCCTGTGAAACGATTTCCCGCACTCTGGCACTTTACACACATATTTCTTCGCCATCTCGTGCTCTCTAACGTGACGTTGGCAGTTATATTTTCTGATGAACTGACAGCCGCAGTAATTGCACGTGTAGGGCCGTAGGGACTTGTGAGAGTTCATGTGTGATATGTATTCGGTTTGGCGTATGAAAGCGCCTTTGCACAGGTGGCACTTGAACGGTTTGGCCGAGCGGCTCATGTGCGTCCAGCGGTGCAGCTTCAGGTTCCACTTTGTTGTGAACGACTTGTTGCACACAATGCAAGGGAACGGCTTCTTTCCGCTGTGAGTTAGCAGGTGAGCGCGTAGATTGGTACGCAGATACATCTGTAAATATGAAAAATATTAACAAACTTGTTTATTAATGAATATAACATTCTAATAATAATGTACTCCAGAACGAATTTCGGTCACAGCAGCCAGTTTCAACAGAGTCTAGCAATCTGCGCAGGACGGGACTAAAGTGCACGAGTGTATGGACAGTAATCCAATAGGACCGGAGTGAGATCAGGCGCAGGACCAACGGCTTTAGGTGCTTTCCGAGGCATGATTGTGAAACACCGTCAACTTCCTGACTCTGAGCTGCTACTTAAATTTCTAACATAAAAGCAATAAGATTTAGGTTTCCCACTACTTGAATAAGGAAAGACCCAAGTTCCATCACATTGCACCCGTCATCCAGAGATGAGAAGGTGGAACATCTCATGTTGCTGTAATTTCACTGGCACAAAGCAATGCAAGTGTTTCACTGGCACAAAGCAATACAAGTGCACGACTACTCGGCGAACGAACTTGGCGCTTCTAATTCTAATGTTACAAGATACGTAAACATAGAACTACTACATAAAAAAGGTTTAAAAAAACACTTTTCAATCAACTAATGTGACGCAAAAATCAATGGAAAGAATTAAACAAATAATAAGTATTTAGTCGCCTTTTGCATGTCTCTGCGCTCCTCATGGGATTGTAGTGTAGTGTAGCCCCTATGATAGTATATATTAGTGTTTTATTTTATAACTTCGCCAAACACTTTAACAGTGGTAGAGCCACGCGGCAGCTTTTGCTGTCGCACGGATGGGCCGGCTCGAACCGGGGTAGTACCACGACCTCACAGAAAACCAGCGTGAAGTAGAGATTTACCTCTGCGTTTCGCTTGGTAAGTGCAGGTGGCCGGAGGCCCTTTTTACTGGAAATGAGGCATTCCATCTTAGTCCTCACGGGTGACAACGCATCCACATTTTGATTTGTAATAGAGGATAGATGTAGATGTCTATGGGCCGCAGCAACCACTTACCATCAGGTGGACTGTGTGCTCGTTTGTCACCCTTATTCTATAAAAAAAAAAAAACTGTAAAGACAGTTTGTTGGCGAATAAATGCACTCTTATATCCTATTACATAATTAAATAAGTACACCACCCACATAATATAGCAAACAAATAAAAATTCTAAATATAAACACTACTATTTCTATATTCTAATAATTTTAATATAACATCCCACCCACATAACATTGCAACCAAATAGAGATTCTAAATATTACCCATATATATTTTTCAAATATTACAAACGAATATCAATTTTACAAATTGTCATATACATACGCTATCATGTATCTTCTATTTTATCTAAAAAATAATTCTTAAGCTTCTTTTTATTCGTAAATTTACACTCAGGTCTACCTTGCCTTACCCAGTCTATTTCATTAAAAAGCTTTGGTATTTTAAATATTTTGTACATCTTTTACCATAGTAGTTTTTAACACTAGGCTCAACTAATTTCCCTTCTCTCACTTTCCTGGTTCTATATTTATTATCCACTTTTTTTTTTATAATGATTTTTATTAATGTTTTCTAAAACTAATAACATGTTAACTTTGTGTTCTACCGGTAAAATTTTACAAATAGAGAATAACTTATTATAATCTTTCTTACAATTTTCTTGTAAATTTTTAATGTTCTTTATATAAGAAGCAAAAGTGCGACCGTAAACACCAAGTCCATAACCTATGAGGCAATCCACCAAAGCATAGTATAGAAGGTACATAGATTTTTTGTTCAAAATGTAATTTAAAAAATAGAATTTACCCAATATCGCTGACAGCCTTGTACATACATCAGATGTTTGAGGTTTCCAATTAAAGTTTTGATCAATTACCAGTCCTAAATACTTAAACTTATCGACAAATTCAATTTCTTTACATTTATAATTCATTTTATTATTATGTAAGCACTCAAAACAGTGGCCCACAACAGCCATCTCATTCAATGTGGTGTTTTTCGCTGCAGTATTATATGGAATGTATATGCATGCATTTTGTTTTATTAAAATTAAGGATAATACCATTATCATGGGCCCACTTTGTTATATTCTCAAAGTCACTTTGTATATTATTTTGAAATTCTTTTGTTTGTTTAGAGGCAAATAGCAAGCACATGTCATCCGCATACATATTCACTTGACAATTTTTTATTACATTAGATACACTATTTACATGCATAATATAACCCACAGGACCGTAAACAGAACCAGTCGGTACACCCAAGCTAATACTGGCCTCCTCTCCCACAACACCGTCCACTACAGTACAAAGCGTCCTATTAGATAGATAGCTACGAAACAAGTTATTTGTAGGGCCCCTGATTCCACACTCCTCCATCGCTTGTAATAATATATTATGGTCCAAAGTGTCAAAGGCTTTTTTAAAATCAATAAACAAAACCATTTTTTGGATATTTATTTTTGACTTTTTATTAAATTATGGCCTCTCAAAAAACTAAAAGGTACTTCATATGATACGGATGCTTAAATAACAATAGGAATGTCGACTTTTCATTCTTTACTGTTCCTAAGGATACCGAAAGGTAAGGTACCTAGTTACTGACGCCATAGTTACAGTTTTATTATTTGATCAGCGACCTGACCACAGCTTCGCAGTTTTCGATTTTTTTCGCGTATAATGCCAATGGCCTTAAAATATCGTTTAGTGTAAGTAGACCTCCCAGTACCAGTGACTGCCTACCCAAAGTTATTAGTTTAACACTTGGTCGATAAAAGAAAGAGATTGAAAATAACAGCACTTCTCATTGCCACTCTTTCATTAACGCACGTTAACGCACATGCACGTTTGTAAATAGAAAAAAAATGTGAAACAGACAAGTGACAGCTCCGTGGGCAGTCGCTTTGCAATGAGTTGCAGCGCCAAGGGCCGCGGGTTCGAATCCCACACGAAACAAGTATTTGTATGGCCTACAAATAATTGTTCTAGGTCTGGTCTTTATGAAATCTATGTATGTAAACTACCCCCGCGATACAGGAGAAATCCTAGTGCGCAGGTAACGTTTTTAAAAAGAGAAGATAAGAGATAAGTAATGAAATTAAAAATTGTGTACAATCGACATCAATATTAATACGCATTATGAAGGATAACTCCAAAAATACTGGTCAGATCTTGATCAAATTTAGATGGGAAATATAAATTATAAATACCAGCTTTCAAATAAAAAAATTAACATCAAAATCGGTTCACCTAGGAAAAGTTTTGAGGTGACACACATAAAAAATACAGTCGAATTGAGTACCTCCTCCTATTTTGAAGTCGGTGAAATGCTAATTAGGTAAATTATCTGAGTTTCAAAGACATATTAACCTTACTCACATTGAATAATAATGTTCCCTCGGTGTATTCTACTACCAACTAATGTCAAAGGATTCAATTTGTTTTTTCACAACATCTAACCCTGCAGTTGGTGCGGCCTTAACAGAGGCGCGTAACAGGCTAAGTGATACAGACTCTCGCACGCGGACGTAAGGTGCATTTTGATTTAATAAGCGCGCCGCATTAATTTTTTTTCGCCGATGTAATCGGTAGGCTAATTTGACGAAGATCGTGTCCGAGGCGTGCAAATTATTATGAACATTAGCGACTATTTCAGTTACCCTCTGTCGCCTCTTACGACACCCACGGTACGATATGGGGTAGTGGATATTCTAGCACCGCCACTACACGGTTATATTCAGGTATCACTGCGTGAAATACAAACCTGCTTGCAAATAGGACAAGGCACATTCTCCACTTTCCCCTTCAACTTATCCGAGAGGTAGTATTCGTTGTGTGTGCGACGAACGTGTCTCGTGAGCGACGACGCGTGGACAAATTTGTCACTGCAGTACAGACACGACTTCGGCTTCTCCTCGTGCGTCTCTTTGTGCCACTGGAGCTTCGCCCTCGAATGGAACACCGCCCCGCAATGGCACACGTAATCGCGCACTTTAGCTCTTTTATGGAAGTGGTGGCGATCCCTAAAACAAACAAAACACTTCAAATTCATCTCTCCAAGGTTGTACAATCTTGTTTTCAGGTTTTGAGGTATACCTGACAAGAAGATGTCTCGCAATTTCCCGAACACTGCCCAGCCGAGTTGAATCCGTCGATTGACCTCTCGGTCGAAGTTAGACTTACCTAGTCGGACTATTTATCCCAGGTAAACATACTCGCCAACAATTACCAGCATAGGTGTTTTTTTTTATAGAATAAGAGTGACAAACAAGAGATTGAGTTGAGCGAAGCGAGCCACGCTGAGTGAGCAGCGCAGTGTAATACGATGCGTGTCGTACGCGAGCTTGAGCTACTGATACATAAGGATATTAAGATATAAAAGAGTGATACATATCCCAGTGATCAAAAGATACATATCAATCTTTTCTTTTAAGTGATACACATTGCCAATGTCTAGTTTATACCAAAATAGATAAGCAAAAGTCACTGACCTCTATATATATAAGTACACTCAAAAGTATATTATCTACGATGCGAAAAAAAAGAGATCCCGCTTAGATTAACTAGAGATGTTAGCTGGTTAGTAATCTATGCCCATATTACTCTGACTAGTAATTAGTTATCTGTGTCTGTATAGATGTGCCAACTCGGAAAATTTACGACTCGAGTTAACTCGAGTTGAAATTCACGCAACTCGAACTTAAACTCGAGTTACGCAACTCGACTTAGCAGTACGAAACAGAGTAAATGATTTGTTACAAATAACTTTTTTATAAATCTGTTTTTCTATCTAGCTCTTTGGTAGATTCGGATAACTATAATTACCAAACTTATTATGTAGGATTGAAATAAAAAGGTATAAAGTATCACATATTTGTGGTTTTAATCTTAGTTATAGTAAGTTCGTGCATTTAACAATAAACCTAGCTATATAGCAGTCTTCATGAAATAAAATTAGCCTAATTTTAAGATATAGATACATAAACTATTAACAGTTTGTCACAAAAAAAATATTGTTTTTCTTTTATATATAGAATAATGGTGACATACGAGCACACAGTCCACCTGATGGTAAGTGGATACTAAGGTCTATAGACAATGCAGATGCGTTGTCACCCCTGAGGGCTAAGATGGACTGCCTCGTTTCCAGTAGAAAGGGTCTTCTCCAATTCTCTACACACACCAGCATTAAGCTGCTATTTTACGTTGGTATTCTGTGAGAGCGTGGTCCTACTCCGGTCGAGCCGACCTCTTCATGCTACAGCCATAACATAGCTGCAGCGTGGCTCTACCACGTATATCTATTGCTCTGTGCTCGAAGGACCGAGCTAGGCAATATAGAGAGACAACTGTAACGCGGACTGATTACAATTATGATTGACGAAACCATCATACCATATTCCCCTGTTTTCTCTTCCAATACGTCCAGTATTGGACTTGAATTTTCGAGAACATTATGAGAAGGCTTGTGAAATGTTTTCTTTTTTATGTTATGATATTATGATATTTAATACCTAATAACAGCCGATATAAATAGGCAGTTTTAGTAATTATGTAGGTTTCTACTTACTTTTTAACGTGGCTCTACCACGTAAAACATGTGTGATATGGACATTACACATGTTTTTGTTTTGTATATGTTCATCTTAAGAGCTATCCGTTGGGAGGCACTATTGAGGTCATTGAGCATAGAGTTTAGGTCCTCCAGCGATTCTGCTATAAGGACTATATCGTCAGCAAATCGAAGGTGAGTGATTTACTCGCCATTGATATTAATACCGTATCCTTTCCAGTCCAGTAGCTTGAAAACGTCTTCCAATACAGGGGGAAAAGTTTCGGGAATATAAGGTCACTGTCTTACACCTCTCTGCAGTTGGATAGGTTTCGTACTTTGGTTCAGTACTCGGATAGCCATCGTAGCTCAACTGCACAAACACTTCTTCAATACGAGCAGTATTAAACTTGCGTAAGTCCCGCCACATGCATTTGGAGATTTGTCTGTTCAGGTGCCTGTATACTGTCAAATCTGCTGAAGACTACAGCTTCATCTACCGTCTAACAGCCATGAGATTACGAATGTGATTGGAGAGTTTTTATGTTCTTCTGCGACGAGTCTTACAGAACTTAGCTTCGACCGCATGGACAGTTTCCACGAGCTTATCATTCACACCGTCCACTTCATTGCAGTCTTTTGGGCACTGAAAACGATTTTGTAACTCGAGCTAAAATTTTTGGGGCTTTGGATTTAGAGCACGAGGGGGACGGAGCGTTGACTTCATTAGACGTGACCTCTCCAACTTAACGTTTTGGTTCAGTGTGCCTCTAACCATTCGGTGATGTGCCGAGGTTGATGCGTAAACCTGTATGACCTTCAGCGAATACCGTTTGGTGTTTCTGAGTATAAGGTACGCAACCCTCGTCGACACACTCTTAATCTTTACAACGTTGTTAACGAGAGACTTGTGGACGATAAATCCGACACCTCCTTGGGACAGATGGTCACCCTCCCGGTGATAGAGCAAGTTGCCGGATTCGAGGATTACCGTATCCTCCCCCTCTCTTCGGACCTCGGATAATTCTATAATATGCCAACGTAACTTGTCTATCTGTTCTTCCAGCTCCATGATCTTCTCGTCAGTCCTCAAGGTGCGTGTGTTGTATGTTACCAGGTCGAGTCGTCTTAGGTGGCAACCGAACCTCCACCGGAGATTCTTAGGACCCCCTGCGCCGCCGTTACCATGGTCGCAACCGTAGCCAAGAATAGCGCGGCCACCGGGGACTGGGGGCAGTCTCTTCGTAACTTTCATCATGAGGGGATGTTTGCCAAAGTTGCCACGCTTGGCGAGCGGGTTGGCAAATGCAGTTTTTTTTTTATTGTACTGTTGCTATTATTAGGAAAATATTGCTGCCCATATTCTGCCTGTTTCCCACTGTCGCCTCTTACGACACCCACGGGAAGATACCGGGTAATGTATACATAGGTTGCACTAAAAGTATCGGGAATGGAATATTTCCACTGTTCCTGTCATATTAAAATCTTTTTAATTGAAAACTCCTTGGTTTTAAAAATCGAATACCATTTATTTATTTAAAAAAAGATTCTCGGTCTTGTCACAAGGTTTTGTCAAACTTGTTTAGTCGTTGAGAAAATGGAATTGACTCGAGAAAATTCAAGAGCGATGATTTATTATGACTTTCGAAGTGGTTTAACACAAAAACAGTGTGTTGACCGGATGATTTCTGCATTTGGTGATGAAGCCCCATCCAAAACCACAATTTATCGCTGGTTTGCTGAATTTCAACGTGGACGTGTCAAGCTCAGTGATGATCCCCGTCAAGGTCGTCTTGAAAAAACTGCAGTCACCCAAGAAAACGTTGATGCTGTGCGTAAGCTGATTGAGGAAGATCGACATGTGACATACCACGAAATTCAGGCAACTTTAGACATTGGCATGAGTCAAATACAAATAATCTTGCATGAACAATTAGGTGTAAAAAAGTTGTTTTCCCGATGGATACCGCATTCGCACTGTGAAGAGCAAAAAGCGGCTCGCGTGGTGCGTCAGAACTCTCGAAAGATTCCACGCAGGATCCTCAAATGCTGTATATAACATCGTATCAGGTGACGAATCCTGGATATACGCGTACGAACCCGAAACAAAAAACCAGTCACGAGTTTGGGTGTTCGAAAATGAGTTAAAGCCAACAAAAATTGTTCGTTTACGGAGTGTTACAAAAACAAAATGGTGGCCACGTTTGTCTCCAAAACCAGCCATGTTACGACTATTCCTCTTGAGGGACAAAGAACGGTTAATGCAGAATGGTATGCTAGCATTTGTTTGCCACAGGTCGTTTCTGAACTCCGTAAAGAGAACTGCAACCGCCGCATCATCCTCCATCACGACAATGCGAGTTCTCACACCGCACACAGAACAAAAGAGTTTTTAGAGCAAGAAAACATAGAATTATTAGACCATCCGCCGTACAGCCCCGACCTAAGCCCTAATGATTTCAATACTTTCCCTAAAATAAAGAATAAATTGCGTGGACAGAGATTTTCATCACCTGAAGAAGCTGTGGACCTATAAAACGGCCATTTTGGAGACCCTAACTTCCGAATGGAATGGTTGCTTCAATGATTAGTTCCATCGTATGGAAAAATGTGTCAAATTTCGCGGAGAATACTTCGAAAAGCAATAAATACATTTTTAAATAGTAATGTTGTGTCACTTCCTTGATTCCCGTAATTTTCAGTGCCGCCCTCGTATTCTTAACCGCTACTGCACGGCGTTTTTACTTAGCAAAATTAAAATAAAACCTGTCACAGCAGTGGTACAATTGAGGTGAAAACTTCACCCCTATTCCTTCCCAGTCAAGGCGCGCCGAAATACAAACTGGACCTGCCTTCACGACTTTAATTCCATCTAGGCAATAAAAGGCTTCTTTCTCATTGTCTAAGAACTTCAAGACTGTTCAATACGATACTCGATTTAAACCTGACACGATTGTTACACTCGCCTCGTCTTGTCTTGTTCACCGAAATCTAGCTTTTAATTGTGACGTCAAATCGATCCAATCGTCCGGTCCCAGCTTTTTTTTTATAGAATAGTGTGACAAACGAGCACACAGTCCACCTGATGGTAAGTGGTTGCTGTGGCCTATAGACATCTATATTTATCCTCGTTTGCGAATCAAAATGCAGATGCGTTGTCACCCGTAAAACCCGTGAAACTGGTCTATGGTTCCGGTACGTAGTGTAAGGGGTACGGTACCTCACAATATCGACTCTTCACGAACGTGTTTATATGCATTTCGTGCATTCCATAGTAGCTTCGTAGGGCGCCCCCCCCCCCCCCCCTAGATGGAGTGACGATCTAATAAGAGATGCAGAAGGTCGATAGATGCATGTGGCTCAACACCGTGCTTTGTGACATTTCTTGGGAGACCTATATATCTTCACGAACGTGTTTATGTGCATTTCGTGCATTTCATAGTAGCTTCGTAGGGCGCCCCCCCCCCCCCACTAGATGGTGTGACGATCTAATAAGAGATGCAGAAGGTCGATAGATGCATGTGGCTCAACACCGTGCTTTGTGACATTTCTTGGGAGAGACCTATATTCCATATCATTCTATATATGTATTAGCAGATTTTACTTACAATAGGGTACAAAACTCACTTGCAGGTAGTCACGGCATGTATTACAAAATAATAAAAATAACAGTAAGACAAAACATTACTAACATATTACATAAAAAAACAACCATAAAATAATTTAAAAAAAAAACATTGTATTGTTATGTACTACTTCCTACAACAGACCGCAAAAAAAAACTGTGCGGTAGTGCGGTGCGTGTGGCTGGAGGCACTGACTATCTTTTTATGTCACAGACTAAGTAAGTTTGAGTCCGCGGGCTTTAACGCGTATTACAAACAACCAAGTCTAGGTGTCCCTTATAGTACGTAGTACATATTATCACATCAATGATTAAAACCAACAAAATAATCTAAATAATTGATAATGTTAGTGCATAAGTGAGTGTCTGCGTGGATGAGTGTGTGTGCGTGCGTGTGTGCGTGTGTGTAGGTACCTGTGCTGCACCATGTTGGAGTAGCGGCGGAAGGTGTCGTCGCAGACGGTGCACTTGATGGGAGTGCGGCCCGTGTGCACGTTGTGGTGCTCCGTCAACTTCTGCCGAGTCGCGAACCGTTTCTCGCACAAGTCGCATCTGACCAACAAAACCATATTTTTATTTAAAGTATCCACCACTGAATTTAGGCCAGGAACAATTAATTAGCTAATTTCACAGGTTTCCAGAGGACGTAAATATTTAGGATCTATATATGTATAGCATAGTAACTACTAGCAAAAAGAGGTGGTAATTTTTTTTACTTAATAGATAGTTGAGATTACATCTTTTATCACTTAGCCTCTCATCTGCGGATGTCTAACACTTGGACACGAAAATATCTCCGTTGACTGCGGGTGTCCAAGTGTTAGACATTTTTTACTCGCTTTTTTAATGAAGAAACAAAGCATTAAGCACTATATCTAACTCATTCTACCATATTTCGATGTATACAGGATAAAAAAGGATAGCATAAAAACCCCACAGCTTACACACTTTAGTAGGATTTTATATCATGGGTTGATTTCGTCTGTCCCTTGAGTCAGCCATCAGTGTGATTGACGCGCGCTAACATCGGAGTTGTTTGCAATTATTTCGTACAAATCTTGATTGATTGTGTGGTTAATTAGGTTATAACAACGCCTGGGTAACTAACCTTCCATTTTTAATTTTAACCTCATTTTGTGTTTCATCTCATTTTGTAAGTGTGAAATGTTTTTTTAATTTGTATGAAGCAAACCGCTATCTTAGAACTAACATGCAGGTTGCGGAAAGTTAACTTGAAATGTATGTAAAATATTAGTGTTTACTGTCAGTTCTGTGTTAAAATATGTGTAATAGTTCATCATTCACAGTTTTAATACGTCAAAATGAGGATAAAGTGCAACATTTTCAATATTTCAATGTAAATACGCAATAGGTGCAATGGTGTCCATTTCTGAGACGCCCGCAGTTGTGGATTCTAGTTATCTGTTTTGCCGGTGGCGAAATAAGGAACTAAAGTTTGCCATACTGCATAAAGTTCAAATTCTGTTGAATTGTTAGATTGGTAAAGAAACTAGCACCCTCGAACAGACAAACGGAGCTTTCTTTGACTCCATGATCATTCGATGTTTTAGGAAAAACTAGATGTGGCATTTGAATGTGCCATATGTATTAACATAAGACTTCGGATTTTTTTAAACAATTTATTAAAAAAGAAAAGTAGAAAGCATTAATATATTTTTTAAATATTTTTATTTTAATATATTTTTATATTTAATAGTTTAAATCTTTATTTATTTTTTATTTTAATATAAACAGTTTGTGGTATTTTATGTTTTTTAATGTACATCTTATTTGTATGTACTTTGCGAAATTCGTAAATCAAAAAGCATTAAAAAAAAGTAAATTTCATTTCAAAATTTATTACTGTATGTCTAAAAAGTCATTAAAAAATAAAAATACCCTCCATGTTTTATTGACTAATGCACTAATGCCGCATTCAGTCCGAACTACGAGCACATTCTACATCCATGTAAGTTGATTGTTGGGTACTTGTAAGCTTATTTTTAATGCGTTTTATGATAAAATATTGTACTGTAGCCTATGATTTTGCACATAAAATATTGTAAATGATAGATTTAAGGTTAACATAAAACAAAATTGAGCTAATAAAAAACTTTGTTTCATTGAGAAATATGACAGTTTTGACTTTACTCGACATTTACTTACACTAATTATTCTGGGACTTTATTAAATTTGTATACACATTTGTAGCAAATTTCATAGAGAATTCAGAAATGTATACATGTCATAGTATTTGACATACCAGAATCGAGAAATTTGCGTTAAGACGGACTGCGCCCAATCAGCCGTCCATTTTATTAAACAGCTCCGCAGTCAACGGAGTAGTGCGGTTAGTCTCCGCAGTCGAAAGGTCGGTCGGAAAAAAAGGGCAAATAGGCAGTTACGGTTTTAAAAATATTAAAGAACTGACTTCATTGAATAATACAACAAAAAAAAAATCTCAATTAGTTAATAGATGGGTCTACACTTTCACCGTGTGATATTTATAAAAAACATTTTGATTTTCGAGAAAAAAAATCTTCAACAATGGTAAAAACACTTAAAACGGCCTATTCTAATTTAAACCTCTAGGCCATTTCGTTATTATTTTAGAAAATCTTTTTGGTTAAAACGTGAGATAAAGTATAGACAACACATTCACCGTTCATTATTTTTACTAATTCAAACCAAAAAGCAATAATCTAAGACTAAATATCATTCATTTTTTAACAGAAATCGTCCATACATTTTAGTATGAAACGGTTAGGCTTCCGTAGTTCGCTTTATATTAGAGAACACGCGTGAAAAAAATTCATCGATGTGAACCCGGAGAAGAGCTCCGCCGTTCACTTCGATTATAAACGACGCCGACTCAAAAACACTCCACCAATACGAATGCTAGGGACCCCTGTCCCCTGGCATACGACTGCCAAATATTTAGGTGTCACCCTTGACACTAGGCTCACTTTCAGGTCCCACGTCAAAAGAGTAACCCGTCACGCACGTTTTTACCTGGGTAGGCTCAACAGTATGTTGGGCCGACACAGTAAAATGTCCCTCAGAAACAAGCGTACCCTTTATAAGGTCTGTATACGACCAGTCATGTCCTACGCGGGCCCCATTTTTGCCCACGCTGACCTTAAAATTATTAATGAACTCCAAGTAGTTCAAAACCTCTTCTGTCGTCGAGCTACGAACGCACCTTGGTACGTCCGTAATGCCGACCTTCATCGGGACTTAGAGCTCCCTACAATTCAACAATTCCTTAAAAAACTCTCTGAGAACTTCTTCAAAGCCTCAGAGTCGCATTCCAATCATTTTATTCGTGAGGCTGCTAATTATGCAGCCCCACTCCCCTCCCGCTATAGCGTCCGCAGGCCGAGGAACTCCCTCTCGGACCCGCCTAATAAACTTTCAAACGACCTGAACTGCCTCCTGGCGGCTCAGGCCAACTCTAATTAAGTTATTCATAATTAATTTGCCTTCGTAGGCACTCCCTCAGCGGCTAATAGCCGCCTGCGCCCTCTTTTCCCAAAAGAGGGTCGCTTCCGATACGGCATAAGAAGCTTTAAACAGCTGGTTGCCGGTCCCCAAAGGCGGTTTTAGAGGGTATTATAGGTTACTTAGGTTCCCCGGTAGGCAGTGAGTCCCTCATAACCACGATAGACCGGCTGTCGTGGTATGCGTAATGCATTTCCGCCTCCCTAAAGGGTAGCCCTTTTCCAATTGCTTCGGGCGCAAAAAAAAAATGAAAAAAATTCAGTGCCGCCTCAATTTTCGAGGTGAGCACACGTCCGTTTGTAGCCCGATTTGACAAGTCGAGTCGATACATCTATTGTTTGACACAGTATAAGGGTGGGTCGCGAGCGTCGGACAACATTATTTTTATTATTTGTATTCTTCGAGTAAATAGACTAACTAGGTATGGGAGTTTTATTATGTATTGTTTTTTGTAATTATCAGAAATAAATGTACTTAATAAAATAGTAATTTACTTTAATATCTATTTCAAGTAGATAATATGGGAAAACTCAACCACCGGTGCAGTGGGGATCCACGATCTGGACCTTAAGTGAATTGTTGTGTGGAGTCCACCCATTGCGATATCATTTCAGACTTTCTGGAGTACTTCTCTCCTGATTGACTCGTCCGGTTCTTTGTTGAGGTTACCATCCTATTACTATGACGTTTAGGTTATTTTAGTAATATCTTATGCCGAGGTTATTATTGCAGTAGTAGTATTAAATTTAGATTGATAACTAATATTTATAATATAGAAGTTATCTAGTCGGTTAGGGTGTCTTCCAATATTATGGCTTTTCATTAGTGCTGACAAAATACAATGCATAACAATAACTCTGTGGTTCCCTTTAAGTGAGTTATCAAAATTAGTATTCAAACATAATAAATAATTTTACTTCAGAAAAATCAACATAAAAATAATCAAACTAAATTTAAATAAAAGAATACTTGTAAATTGTATGTGGATTGATTACATCTTATGAAACACATAAACCTTAATTAACATAGGTATTTTTTATCGGTCGTTGATAAACAAACTTTTGTTTTAAATCTTTTAATGACAATTGAGTTTTGACAAAATTTTATGTTTATGAAACTTTTCATGTTTTTAAATATGTAACTAATGAAAAAATACGGGCTCAAAATAAGTCAGTTGGCGTATATTAGACGACACTTTTGCGATCATTTGAAGTGCGTGTAAATTTTGGGGATTTTCCTATACTAAAGTCCTACGATGACGAGCGGGTAGCGGGTTTGAGTTTGAGGAGCGTGCGAAACGCGGCTTATTTTATAGTAATTTTATTTTGTTTATTACATTATTTTAATATGGATCTATTTAAAAATAATTTTTGTTACATATTCTTTATCGAATAAAGTTTCACATGAATGATAATACATTTCTCCTACAAATAGTTGCAAGTTTGAAATTAATCACGACATTTTATACTTGAAACAACCTTTTGAATATTTTTTCCAAATCTCTAATTAGAAATAATGTGGTTTACAACATAACTATCCAATAAAATGTGTATTGACGGTGAAAGAATATTCACCACTCCAAATATATTTTTTTTTAGATAAGGGTGACAAAACAGCACACAGTCCACCTGATGGTAAGTGGTTGCTGTGGCCCATAGACATCTACATCTATCTTCGATTAAGAATCAAAATGCAGATGCGTTGTCACCCGTGAGGACTAAGATGGAATGCCTTCTTCCTCTTCTTCTTCTTCTTTCCAGTAAAAAGGGTCTCCAGTTCTCTACGCTCACAAAACGAAACACAGCAGCGTTGAGCTGCTATTTTACGCTGGTATTCTGTGAGAGCGTGGTCCTTCCCCGGTCGAGCCGACCCATTCGTGCTACAACCATAATATAGCTGCAGCATGGCTCTACCACGTATAAATCTCGTCTAATCTCGTGGGTGTGGTAAAAGGCAGATGGAAATCAGGAGATGGGTATCGGCATCTTCCTAACAACAACTAGTTCCAAGGAAATAAATGCGGTTGTCAACCCGCCTGGCAAAAGTGGAAACTATGAAAAATCCCCCTCATGAGGTTTTCCGTTAGATAGGCTTATGTTCAGTAGTTGACTTTGATAGATCGTAATGAATGAATAAATAATGTATATTTGATCTCAACATAATTTTAGAAACTGTTAGAACACTTCAAAACATCGTCATCTACGAAGAGGAACTAAGATTTTTCTCGTTAAGTGACTTCGTAAAATGATTTTTGTAAGATAATTTATAATATAAAATAAATATGAACGTATTAAATAATATTAGGTATTCAAGAAGGGATATGGAATTTTCATAAACTACCAGCACATTATTAAAATATTTTCATTATTATTTCTATTATATTTAAATTGAAAGTTTCTGAGTATAACTGTATCTAGAACAAAATAGTGGAAATAACTTCGCTTTTAGCACTAATGTTATAATAATATATACATTTAGACGAAAATAATTTTTATTATAACTACTTTATTGTATAAACCATAACGTTATAATTAATTCTTTAAAGAAAACACGAATTAAGTAAATTATTTCTTCTTAGCAGTAAAAAATAGCCGCAATGGTTGCAACATATAAGATATGATCCGCCATCTTGAAAGATACTGTCATCATTCACTTGGATCATTCACACACAAACCTTGGGGGTGCGCGCGTTGCGCAGCGGCTCGCTTTAAAAAAATGATGTATCTGCCATGTCAGAGACCTCACAGTGGCCGTAGGTATGTCGTAGGTTGTTGTTTAGTTCAGATATAAATATCATTTTTAGAAATAATAAATTTAGTTAGTTATTTGATTAGAGACACTAAAATCCCATTGATAGTACACCTATATGTCCCTGAAACGACCAACGGATTGTTTGTTACATACTGTATAAATTGTTTAATCCACTGTGATTGTTTAAATCTTTATTAACCTTTATTTTTTAATAAAAGATCATTCTTATGAAACCCACATTTCCTGTATTACACAAAACATTGATAATATTTTAATTTTGTTCATAAATAAAAAGTAATAATTAAAATAATACCTAGAAAGCGTACACTCTGGCCCCACCCTTCGCCCTCAGCTATTAATTACGGGCTCGCGGACTTCGCAATGTGACAAACAAATGACATAAAAGAAATCGCAAATGGCTACATACAATGCGTGTTTTTTGAGACATTCATGAACATCCTACGAAGACGAACGCGTGATGAAAATGTAACTTGTGCAAAACACCGAAAGTAATTTATTCATGACCAGGGTGCGTATACTAACACTTACTTACTGTGGATCCTTCTATTGATACTAGTAGACCAAGTTAATTAGATAAAAGTTAGAACGCAGTATCATTGGCAGCATCGTTACGGGTTCACATTTGACAGTGGTTTTATTAAAAATATTAGCATCTAGTAACAAAAGCTACCATGTGCTGTTGACATAAGAGAATTTATCTTAATGAGACAAGTTTCATGAGTATCGCATACAGCAGCTATGCCAAACTACCTGCTAAGCCTATTGATTACACCATTACAATAGAAGAATTTCTAGTCAAGGAAATAACTGTTACGGGCTGATGTAGAATGTAAAGATGAAGTAAATTATGACTTACAAAATTGATAGCATACAAACTATAATGCAAGATTTTTATGCAACACAATAGATCATACTTCTTTCATCTATCTGTATAAGTTCACTTTGAAAATTTCCCATAATAATTCCATTAGCCATCACATAATGATTTTTTATATTTACATGAACACTACTAATTTAAATAAAACTAGTTTCTACGGATTTCATCGCCCATATTAACTTATTTTATATTCCTCTATTATTGGCCCTCACAGTTGGTACATCTAGCACCTTTATAGCTGCTCACATTCACAGATCTAGATATTATTAAACATCTACCATAAATGGGTGGGTCTTTGTCTCTCTGTAAGAGCTTTCTGAGAGTCACCTCTTACGACACCCACAGAATGAAATGGAGATTTTTAAGCCTTCACAATACTTAAATATTGAAATTGGTAATAATTACTTTGCTTATTTAATTGTGTAATGAAACAAAATGATGTGTCTTAAATGGTTTTGTAGCCCGTGGAAGGAAAAGGGGAGATCTCTCGCCGGGCAAGGTATTCTGCCCTGGGAGTGGCCAAGGCTCCAATTGGTCGTTCGGAGCTATTCTATATATACTGCTTTAACTTCGGAACTTTGTTAGCGCGATTTAGGCTTCGATGTGTTTCTCTTGTGGCGCGACGACAGCGCCGCCACACTCCCAACACCAGTACACTAGGAAAGATACATCACCGTCGATAATACGACACGTGTTTCGCCCTACCTTCTACTTCTTCTTCCTTTCTAGTGTATTGGTGTTGGGAGTAGTAGTGCTGGGATCAGTGGTGACGGCGTTAGTGCACGCAATTGACGGAGGGCGGGAGGTACTCTTCAAACAACGTAAGACACGTCATTTTCTTTCATTACGCGAAAATTAGCAAAGTAATTATTACCAACTTTAATGTAATGGATTTCCACAAAGTAACGCCTGATTATATTAATTACCTCCACAATATGTCATATTCAACTTAGAAATTTCGTTGCAGAATTTTTTTATATTTATAAACTATGATAGAGTATATACAGAAACTTGTCAGAAACTGGAACTAGTACCTAGTAGTAATAATGCATGTAACTCAAAATACCAACTCACTTAAAATTCTTGATTCCCAAGTGGGTTTTTATGTGAAGGGCCAAGTTTGCTCTTCTGAAGAAGCATTTTCCACACGTGAGGCACTCCAACGGATGTATCTTGAGGTGAGCATGGAAGGCTGCATCCGTCTCCTGGTCCACCTTACATGTCGGACAAACAAAATCCTTCCTTCTCCTCTTAGTTTCTTGTTTAATAAGACCCACTATAGCTGGTTTAGCTTCAGCAATGGCATCATACACGTGCATCATTGTAGTAGCCATTGATTCTTTGGAGTCAGCTATGGCCAAGAGATTCTCTGAAAGTGAGACATATTTAACAAATTTACTTTTGACTGTAGTAAAGTGTATCCTACTATAAAAATTATTTTCACATATTAATTACCTCATATGATATTAAAAAATAACACAATAATAAAATGTGCAATAGTGAAAATACTTTTAACTATATTTTTAAAAAACAGTTGTAAAATACACACAATTTTTTTCCACTCATTGTAACTTAGATCCTTTTTGAATTTACATTTATAAAATTACCTTTTTTTTTATTTCTCCAACCAATTTGTCACAACAATATATAGAAAATCATTAAAAAAAACATGTGTGTGTACTTAAGTACGCACGTAGGAAGTTAAACTTCTTTAGCATAACAAAACAAAAATAACTAAAAATAACTACCTTAAATACAGTTATCAGTTCCCACTAAAACTTGAGAGACAGTTACCCAATGAAGTTGTCGCTTTGACGTGTCAGTGTGCGCGCGCATCGTAACAACTTCAAAAAAAATCACTCACAATTTTTCCCAAAAGCCCCAAAAGAAGTATAACTTCAAAACATTAAGAATATGATATGTAATTTTTTTTTATAGGATAGGGTGACAAACGAACAAACAGGCCACCTGCTGGTAAGTGGGTACTGTGATCCATAGACATCTACATCCATCCTCAATAAAGAATCAAAATGCAGTGAGGACTAAGATGGAATACCTCTTTTCCAGTAAAAAGGGTCTCCGGTTCTCGACACTCACCATAAGAAACACAGCAGTGTAAAGCTACTATTTTACGCTGGTGTTCTGTGCGAGTGTGGTCCTTCCCCTTTTGAGCAGACCCATTTGTGTCACAACTATACTACTAATATAGCTGCAGCATGGCTCTACCACATATAAATTATACCTAATATTATATAATATTATAATGAGGAACCACGTCATAAAAATGTGTAATTATGATTATGTTACTCACTTTCCAAAGCATTCTTGTCGGGTTTCTCTTCTTTCTTAATGTTACGTGCATTAACTAGACGACTGTATGTAGTCTTCACGTTGGAACACGTAGGCAGGGAGTGTGACAATGTTTTGTGTGTACGCAACTCCTTCAATGATGGATACTTGGCACCACATTGAGAGCAGGTGTAGAGTTTGCTCTTCGTAAATTGCAGGTCTTCTCTGAAAAAAATAGTATAGAGCATTAAGCCAGGGTATCCAGTTTATACATACATATAATCACGCCTCTTTCCCGTAGGGGTAGGCAGAGACCATTTCTTTCCACTTGCTACGATCCTTACATACTTATTTCGCTTCGTCCACTTTCATCCAGTTTGTTATCAATATTATTACTTCCACCGAGATTGGCGTCATATCTCTTTCAACGAAACTGTTCTAAGATGAGAGCAATGATGTTATATGAAAACATGACGTGAATATGTTTTTGGCACTTCGAACATTATGTTTACAAAATGAGATCATTTAATGCCTATATTCTATGGGCCTTAGTAGACCATGTAGTGTCAGTGTACGTATATTTACTCCCCCAAATCGTCCCGTGGTCGTTGTAAGAAGCGACAGAGGGATACTGAAACAGGAGATGAGCTGCAGCATCTTCCGGATAACAAGCCAAAATAATAAATTTTAAGCCGCCTTTTAAGCATAACAACAATGGCAAAAATTTGCGAGTTTGCATGATAGATTATATCCGCAGCAGAACCATAGTTACTGACATAGCCCAATGGATAAGTAAGCTAAAGTGGCAATGTTCTGACCATAGAACTCCCCCTTCCCCCCTCACACTAGATGGAATGACGACCATGCATTTTTTCAGACCGTTACTTTGGGGAGACCTGTGTTCAGCAGTAAACTTGGAAAGGGCTGTGTTGATGATGAAAATCTAAAGGCATGTTTGTGTTGTCGCTTATCAAATAGGTCTTAGTTTAGCGAAAAATGTTGCTCAGGGAGAATTTCAGGGAGATTCTCAGCTGTAATCCCCGAAATGATGAGACAAAATATGTGCAATAGAAGAATCACTGTATACAAAAATTGTGTTATAATGTTAAAAATGTGTACAGTGTAAGCAGTTACTCACATTGTACACAGAAGTGACATTTTTAGATCTTTGTCCAGCAGTGAACATAAAAAAGCTAATAATGATGATATTTACAAGAATACTCGAGTACTAAAATTTGAAATTATATAGTACATTTTCAAGCTCCGTGATAACTATTTTTTGAACAGAGATATGTTAATAGTATTTTTTCATATAAATATACTAGCGACCCGCCTTCTTTTCGCCTGAATAGGGTATATTAACGTGACACTATTTCGGTTTAAGATAGTCAAAACTATTTATTTTAACAATTTTTGGATTATTCAAAAAAATATTGTCAAGATTTTCTAACAAAATATAGCCAGGAGGGATCCTGGCAGTGCTCCCTAACTGCTCACCAAGTGATTCAGTTATTCCGAAGATTAGCCTGGACAGACAAACAGACAGACAGACAAAAATTTTAAAAATGGTTATTTATGTTTTATATCATACAAATAACCCCCTCTGAGATTGATAGAATCCAGTTATTTCAATGTTACAGACACTCCAATTTTATTTATATGTATAGATGTATTGATTTAAAAAGACTTACTTAAATAAACAGAAGAGACGGAGGTTTAATACTCCTTCTGTACCATTATATAACAGTCCAAAGCCGGACAAAGGTCTCACTGTGTGGAGGATTAGCCGTAACTGATGTAACCCACGTTTATAGGAGGCCGTGAGATTTTTCTAGCAACTCCCATAGTGACCTCTTAGGACCACAAGAAACTAAATGCACCCCATTTGAATTCTCTTTATCTTACACTACTACATGGCGAAAAATACGTATGTATTTATGGATGCAATTCAATAGAGTGCAGTTCTATCAATTTACTATTTTTTGACTATTCGTACACACATACATACAAAGGTATAGGAATGGATGAACCATTACAGCAATTACCAAATCAAAAGGTAAATATACTTGACAATAATCTGATTGCATTACCGGAAAATGTTCTCAAGCATGCCATTCCTGTTGGCTCCATGAAAACTTTTGATCACGATAAATTTTAAATGTTGATTCATTCAAGGAAAGCTGCCTGACTGCTAAATTAAACAAGAAAACTGAAATCAAGCTCACTGACAAGCGGAAAGTGGTGGCCTGCTTCTTAACCTTCTTAGACAAAAGATAAGATCTAAACCCAGTAGTGGGTTATTTTTAAGCTATTTCTTTACTCTTTCTTTTTTTCTTTTATATACTATATTACTAACATATTATCCCTCTTTTCATTGGCGTCCACGTCGGAACCGTCAGACACCCAACTTTCACGCGCCATCAAGTCGTAGGGCTCCGAAGGCGTAACCTCGTTGTACATCTGTAATGCAATGACAGAAACTAAAAACAAAATTTATGCTTTGAAATCTATACTTATATATGTGAAATTTTTTTTGGAAATTAGTTACTCAATACACACATAAGCAGCTTCACAGATTTGGATGAAATTAAAACAAACAGACACATGCCACACAAATTGACATGGACCATGATCAACATGAGCCGTGGTAGCTCAGATGGTTAGCCCTCGCTGTACATTTCACAGTACACGGGCAACCAATGAAATTGTTAATTGCACTTTTAAGTGTTGATTTACCATGTGCTCGGCAGTGAAGGAAAACATCGTGAGGAAACCTGAATGAGGGGAGGCCTGTGCCCAGCAGTGGGATGTATATAGTCTGTAACTTTACTTTACTATGATTAACATATGAAACATTGTAGACAAGCTAGGGAGGCTCTGCAGAAATAAACAGTTGATTAACCAAGGTTCTAATGAGACTGAACAAACCGCTGATCAGGATAGTAACTAGTGCTATCACAGGACATGGCAACTTTAACAAACATTTATTTACCATAGGTGTTGCAGATAGCCCTGTGCGGGGCATGTATGGGGGGAGGAAACGGCGACCCACATGTTGCTGCATTGTCTGGAGGTCGCTACATATAGGGCTAAACATCTCAGCATGTCGGGATCACTCCCCAAAGTTGCACACAACATCAAAGGACTGTTGAACTTCTTCGGGGAGATCTCATGGCTCTAATAATTACATTATTCCTGCCCACATGCAAAATACGCACTTAGATGTGGAGTTGAGGAAAACTGTCCATCGTAAACTAAACTAAACAAATGTAATATTTGTTATCATGGCCAAATAAAAGAAGTTCTCTTTAGTGCCATGTAGTAGGGGGCATAAAATATCCACTCCACCATATCATCCTGTGAGTGTCGTAAGAGGTGACAGAAGGAAAGGAACAGATGATGAGTAGAGTAGAAATTAGCAAAGAAAAGCAAACATATAGTCATTTTGCTTTTTTTGGGAGGAGGGGGGGGGGGAACTACAAGCCGAAAACTAATCTATACAAATAAATAAAATTGAAGTGTCTGTTTGTAATGTCAAAATAACAGCTTTTTAATGAATACATATGAAAGTATATACTGTACTTATATCAAAAACACAATCTTTAAAATTTTTGTCTGTTTGTCCGTCTGTTTGTTCCGGCTAATCTCCGAAATGGCTGGATCGATTTTGACGGAACTTTCACTGTCAGATAGCTGATGTCATAAGGAGTACCTTAGGCTACTTATATCTAAGAAAAAGAATTAGGGTTTCGCGCAGTAAAATTAAAACCCTAAATTACACACGGGCGAAGTCGCGGGGAACAGCTAGTACATCATAAAAGTATAGCTGATAAAATCACATTTCATATGTGATAACTCAATTTTTATTTTGATAGTCTTTCATATTATTGTTTATTTCATTAGATACAAAGGTGCAACAGTTCAAGGTATGTGACTAAGGGCACATGCAACCAACATCAAATGAAGAAAGCTATAGAGTCTGTAACAATATCAGCCCTTGGGAACTAAGAATAAATGTCATTATATTGGGATCCTAATCTAATCCCTAAATTCTTAACTTCCACGAAAAGGACTTATCTTATGAACAAACTAGCTGTTCCCCGCGAATTCGCCTGTATGTAATTTGTTACTATTGGATTTCATGGGTTTTAATTTTTTTGCACATAACCCTGATTCTTTTTTTAAAATAAAAGTAGCCTAAGTTACTCCTTATAATACCAGATATCTGCCAGTGAAGTCCCGTCAAAATCGGTCCAGCCATTCTGAAGATTAGCCATAACAAACAGGCAGACAGACCTATGTTCAGCAGTGGAATATTGATATGCTGTAATAAATAACTGATGAAAAATTAATTGTAAGTAACATACAGTTTCTATAGGTCCCTCAGCTGGCCACAGGCCTCCTTTCTCTCTTTCTGAGAAGGCTTTAGCGCATGGAAGGGTCTACCATGCTGCCCCAATACATGTTGGTGCACTTCACATGTCAAAAACATATATTTTTTATTTCTCAGTTATGCATTGCCTTCATTGCTACACCACATGGGTGTAAATTGTACACTGGACAATCTTGACTATATTTTTTATAAACTGAAGTGACAAATAAACTTATAATCCACCTCATGGTAAGTGGTTACTGCAGTCCTTGGACAACTGCAGCCTACTTTAAACAAAGAAGACTACAGATAGGTTGTCACCTCTGAGGCTAAGATGGAATGCCTCAGTGGCTCTGCTATCTGGGGGCAGGAATAGGACTTCTAAGCAGAAAAAGCTTCCTACCTGGAAATTATTTGTCCAGCAGTCGATATTCCTCATTATTGTACAACTAAAAACAAAATACATGGAAAGGTGAAATTTTCCTTACCCCACTCCACGGTGATTCCATGTCGCCATTACTCTCTTGGCCGCTAAGCTCTCCCCTGGGTGGCATGCGCTCATCCGCACAAATGTTCAATGGAGTCTCGCCATCACTCCTACTCTCACTCAACATGTCAACTTTACTATCTCGCTCATGAATATCCCCATTGCCATTTATATTATGCACCCCATTCTCAATACCGGAATAATCAGGCTCATTGCACTCTGCTATTTTATAACTTTCATGAATAAAATTTGGAAGAACAAACTCAGATTCTTTCTGAGACGGCTCACCCCAGATATATATTCCATCTTTTGGACCTTCTTTATAACCTGATTCTTTTTCTGCATCAAATGATTCAACTCTATCTGGTGTAAAATAGTCAGCGTAAATGTTATCACCAAAATAATTCTCATTCATCATATTAACAAACTGCTTGTTTTTAGATGCTGCCTCCAAATCTAAAAGTTCTCTGTGGTTTGATTCATCTTCAAAATCACTAGGAACCATGTTTCCATATGCTATAACATTCAAAGGTCGAAGGCTCTCCATTGAAGTCATATTTCGGACTAATCTTTCAGGATTGCTAAAACACCCCTCATCACTTGTGTTTATTTCTTCTTTTACATGCACATCTACATTATTGGAATATTGATTAGTGTCATTTAAACTCGACGGTGCAGTAGGTTCTATATCCATTGATTGCTCCTCAGTATCTGCATCAAACTCACTCTGATCATTATCCCTCAGCTTCTCAATAGATACAGTTTGTAATGTGCTGGCTTTAGATTCGGTTTGATCAGTATGATGAATTTTATTTATACTAAAATTTTCTGGTGTTCTACTTAAAGATGAGGAAGCTACAGGTTCTCTATCATGTTCTTTGGATGTACCAGCCTTTAAAGATGTCTTAGCATTTTTGATCTGCAGAATTTTTTTGTGTTTCTTAACATATATGTTATTCAATCTTAGTGCATTATTTCTGAAAGATTTATGAGGGAATTTCCTTTCAGTTTCTGCATTACTTTCAGCATTGCTTTGACTACTAGTACTATCGGGTTTAGGAGATACAGGCGCATTGTCTATTGAATTGTCCCCGTGTTCAGATAATTCACTACAGGGTGAAATTGAGGGTTTCTCGTTACAAATTAAATCAGGTACAGGGCAACTATCAGAAAATTCTGTTTCAATTTTACTACCTACTACACTAGACTTGGAAGGTGAATCTTTGTATGATGGAGGATTTCCTACATTCTTTATCACAGAAAAAGTATTAGATGTCATGCTATCACCACTTGCTACAGATGGCTGTGTACAATCATCTGAGTAATTCTGGTTATTGTCTTCAATATGTGGCAAAATCTTTTCGGGTGTGAGGGATCTGTCTGGATATTCTTGATCATTTGTTCCAGTAAGATCCATTATTGTGTTCAACATACTTTTATTATGTTGAACTGGAACTTCCACCTTTATGTTACTAAGGATTTTAAGGCCTTTATTTGTTCCAGATGGCTCACTCTTCAATTCTGTCCTTTCCAGCTCCTTTTTACTAACATCATTGATATCTGAAGACAATGGAAGTGATGCACTTGTGCTTGCATCACAGACTGTAACTGCAGCTGAAGAAACAATAGGGCTTACTTCTATTATAAGAGTTTTGTTGCTTTCATTTACAACATTAGCCACAGACTTATCCATTGGTGTATTGGGCAGAAGTGATGCATTTTCAGTGTAAACAGATGCATTACAAGGCTTTTGAAGAATTTGTTGAGGACCTGCATACATACATGAAGTATTTCCAAACTGATCAACTACCATTACATTCTGGTACATAGAACTACTCTGTGCAACATTTGCAACATTACCATGCCCACCAAGTACTGTAGGCATGCTTGAAATAAACGGTTTTCCATCTATGTTATGAACCATTTCCCTATAAATGATCTGTGAGTTTTGTGTGACAACTGTTGTGCCCGGTGACAAATTACTTGATGGCATTTGGTTATACTGATTTGAAGCTATAGATTGTGGTACTGCTTTGGCATCTAGTATTTGAGTTGTGGGTATATTTCCAGACATTATCATGTTATTTTGAACATTCTTTTGAACAAACGTTGGTGTTGTTGGCATGACTACATTAACACTCGGTGCTAAATATTGTACTCCACTCATATTTGTTTTAAAAAGAATATTATTAGACTTTGGCAGTAATTTGACAAGATCAGGTTTAGACAATAATTTAACAAAATCACTGTTTTTCTTCGGTGGTAAAAGTGTAGGTGCAACCGATGGAGGAGGCTTAGGATTAGGAACAGGTCCCATTGGTGGCATATTATATGTGAATACATTACTTGCATTATCTATTGAAGAATATTCAGAACTGCGAGAATACTTAACCTCACGGTCTTCTTGCTGCTCAGGGTAGTATGGATATTGTTGGTCAAAATCAGACACCTGAATGTTTGGAACATATGTTTGCTGCATTTTATCAGACTTCATAGCATATGCGGGCTCAGGATACTGATCTCCCTGGTTCACAGGGTTATTTTCAAAATTTATTTCTCCAAATCTAACATCAGGTGTAATGTTTCTTGATATGTTTGACATTGGAGTACATTTATTTCTACTGGGTGTTCTCCGCCAGTACCTGTCGCTGTCTAAACTACGATGAGAGCCCATCCAACGTATGCTGTCATCTACTACTGGCGTACGAGATCTACTTCTATATGAACATTCAGAATGTGATGGTGTTGGAGTGCGACTTCCATAGCTGCTACTTTTTGCTGACAAACTACATAATGCTTTTATAACCTGGTCCTTAGGATGTGTATCCAAATGAGACTCTAGGGTCATCCCACTGTGTAGGTACAGAGTGCACACAGGGCACTGAACTCTCTGATCCATTTTTGTACCTTCTTTATCACAAACTGCAATTAGACCAATGTGAGCTGCGCGTGTTAAATAAAAAAGAAACTTGCAATTAAACCACAATGCTTGACACGAACCCCGTGATGCACATATCTATTCATACATAAGTCGTACGGCCCACAATAACACATATCCTCAACGTAACTCGTCTTCTTATCGATCTGTCGAATAAAACAATACTATATAAATATAAAAATATAAATATTACACAGTCAAATCAATAAACTCGTTTTACACACAACTGTGAGGACAAAAGAAAACAAAAGTCGAGATAAAGGCCATTGAGACATAAAAAGTTGAGTTCGAGGAAACAAGAACTGAATACATTATTTTCAAAGTACAATGACAGAGCTCACCTTTAACAATATTTGTCATGTGTAATCCATGGCATTTATAACTCTAAAATATATAATACAATCGTGTACTACTATACTAATTCTAAAAATATTTCCAAATAGTCAGACATATTGTGATATTGCAATGCAGACGTCTTGATCACAGAGTCACAGACACAGACACATAGTGATGATCAATTCGAGTTACTATCTTAACTCGAGTTAACTCGAGTTGCGCTTAACACAAATTAACTCGAGTTGGATCTCCCTAACTCGAGTTTGGGCTGCTGCACATGAACGGATCAAATGAGCCAGCAAAATAGTAATCGTGGGATTCGTTCGTTGTGTGCGCACTTTGTGTTTCAAAAAGTATTTAGCTACAAGCAAAACAATTTATTATTTAGAATTTTATAATAGCTAAGTTATGTAACTGAATTTCTTTTATAATTTTGAATAATCATGATCAATATAGTTATGTAAGTTACAGACCTATTATTTTAATACCCAAAAAGGGTGGTTAACTTGTAAGATACCTACATCATATTTAAATTGACGCTAAATTTAACACTAAAGTTACAATATATATTTTCAATAACGTGGTATTGTGGTTGCAGAACGAATTGGTCGGCTCGAACGGGGTAAAATAACAGTTTTAACAGTGGTAGAGCCACGCGGCAGCTTTTACTGTCACACGGATGGGCCGGCTCAAACCGGGGTGGTACCACGACCTCACAGAATACCAGCGTGAAGTAGAGGTTTACCTCTGTGTTTCGATTGGTGAGTGCAGGTGGCCGGAGGCCCTTTTTACTGGAAATGAGGCATTCCATCTTAGTCCTTACGGGTGACAACGCATCTGCATTTTGATTCGCAAGCGAGGATAGATGTAGATGTCTATGGGCCGCAGCAACCACCTACCATCAGGTGGACTGTGTGCTCGTTTGTCACGCTTATCCTATAAAAAAAAACAGGTTTATGCTGCTGTGTTTCGTATGGTGAGTGTAAAGAACTGGAGACCCTTTAATAAGTACTGCAAACGAGGCATTCCATATAAGTCCTCAGCTGTGACAACGCATCTACATTTTAATTCTTAATTGAGGATAAATGTAGATTTATATGGGTCACAGCATCCACTAGCATTAGGTGGCCTGTGTGCTCGTTTGTCGCCATTATTCTATATATATAAAGAAAAGAATATTTTCACTGTGACAATTAAACTATTAATAGTTTATGTATCTATATCTTAAAATTAGGCTAATTTTATTTCATGAAGGCTGCTATATAGCTACGTTTATTGTTAAATGCACGTACTTACTATAACTAAGATTAAAACCAAAAATATGTGATACTTTATATCTTTTTAATTCAATCCTACAAAATAAGTTTGGTAATTATAGTTATCCGAATCTACCAAAGAGCTAGATAGAAAAACAGATTTATAAAAAAGTTATTTATAACAAATCATTTACTCTGTTTCGTACTGCTAAGTCGAGTTGCGTAACTCGAGTTTAAGTTCGAGTTGCGTGAATTTCAACTCGAGTTAACTCGAGTCGTAAATTTTCCGAGTTGGCACATCTATACAGACACAGATAACTAATTACTAGTCAGAGTAATATGGGCATAGATTACTAACCAGCTAACATCTCTAGTTAGTCTGTGCGGGATCCCTTTTTTTCGCATCGTAGATAATATACTTTTGAGCGTACTTGTATATATTATAGAGGACAGTGACTTTTGCTTATCTATTTTGGTATAAACCTATAAACTTTCTTTGGTATAATAATACTTTCCCATAATTTTTTTTGGCATATAATTTATTTTGACATAATTATCATATAGGCTAATTTGTTTTGGTATAATTTTAGTTCGCATATTACTAGGCGTAATGACTATTAGTATAATAGTATTAATGACTGTTAGACTGTAAATGGTAATGGCTATTAGAATAAAAGCTTAGAGCAACCTGACTTTATAGATAAGATAGATCTAATCTGTACTAAAACCAAATCAGCAGTCCCCGACTCCACGTAGTCTAGTCTGTCCTACTCCTAGACTGTTTTTGTAGAGCCGTTGGCGAGGAGAGAGAGCAGCCTCCGCCCACCATATTAAATCACATGTGCAAGCTGTAGCGGCTGAGGCTGGTAGCCAAAGGCGACCAATAAGCCAAATCCGCGAAGGTTAGCATGGGTGTCTGCCATTTGCTACGCAAGGGCGAAGGTGCTTCACAGCGGCAAAGCCGTTGCAAAAGTAACTTTGGGTCAAAATTCTAATGTGTAAAAAAGTGAAGTTATGATTTTACATAAACATAAACACTACCTTCTTCCATTTGGAACTACAATTCACTTTATTTAAAGGATTAAATTACAACTTTGCAAGAATACACTTAGTCACACAATAGTTTTATGATACTGTCCACCGTATACTTAGAAATTTTTAAGAATAATTTGTTCTATACCTACAATTTAAAGTGCCTACAAATTCCATTAGAGCAATATTGTTTATAACTGTGTCTAATATTTTAGGAGTTAATTTTTGAGTTTATTTAATTTTTTAATTTAGGAGTATTTGTCATGCCTAGTAAAATTATGTTGTAATATCATTATGCGTGTCGCTACACTCGGCATCTCGTAAAACATAGAAAAGACAGCTCTGCAAAGAACTATTATATCATCAGCGTGGAAGCTATGATATTGTCTATAAGAAGCTTTTTTACGAATTTATTAAGATTAGAGAGTTGGTATAAACTACATATATAAGTAGCGAAAGTCTAGTGGTGACCGTTCCTGCGCATAAGTCTGGCTGATTAGCTCATGCGTATCGTTCGCACGCACTGATTGGCTCTCCAGTCGCATTCGTGCAATTAAATTCGTGCGCGTTCCCTCCACGTTTCCTTCAGCGCTAGACTTACGTGACGCGACCTCTACCAGTAGTAGTGTACACGCCCATAGCTGGTCAAATATCCCGGGGCCCATCAGCGGTAGATTCGACGGACAACTAAGGGTGGGGCCCAACGGCCTATGGACAATTAACCTACACAATAGATATAAGGCTAGGTAAATAAATAGGACGTACCTGGTTCCGAAGCGAAGAATGCTCCAAGGCTCGGTCAGGCCGTAGGTGCATGTAAGTGGTGTTTAGTAGTGTGTATACGAGGCGGCACTGAAAATTTCGAAAATCAAGGAATTGACACAACATTACTATTTAAAAATGTATTTATTGCTTTTCGAAGTATTTTCCGCGAAATTTGACACATTTTTCCATACGATGGAACCAATCATTGAAGCAACCATTCCATTCGGAAGTTGGGGTCTCCAAAATGGCCGTTTTGTAGGCGTTCACAGCTTCTTCAGGTGATGAAAATCTCTGTTCACGCAATTTATTCTTAATTTTAGGGAAAGTATAGAAATCATTAGGGCTTAGGTCGGGGCTGTACGGCGGATGGTCTAATAATTCTATGTTTTCTTGCTCTAAAAACTCTTTTGTTCTGTGTGCGGTGTGAGAACTCGCATTGTCGTGATGGAGGATGATGCGGCGGTTGCAGTTCTCTTTACGGAGTTCAGAAACGACCTGTGGCAAACAAATGCTAGCATACCATTCTGCATTAACCGTTCTTTGTCCCTCAAGAGGAATAGTCGTAACATGGCCGGTTTTGGAGACAAACGTGGGCACCATTTTTTTGCAACACTCTGTGAACGAACAATTTTTGTTGGCTTTAACTCATTTTCGAATACCCAAACTCGTAACTGGTTTTTTGTTTCGGGTTCGTACGCGTATATCCAGGATTCGTCACCTGATACGATGTTGTATACAGAATTTGAGGATCCTGCGTGGAATCTTTCGAGTTCTGACGCACCAAGTAACGCGAGCCGCTTTTTGCTCTTCACAGAGCGAATGCGGTATCCATCGGGAAAGCAACTTTTTTACACCTAGTTGTTCATGCAAGATTATTTGTATTTGACTCATGCCAATATCTAAAGTTGCCTGAATTTCGCGGTATGTCACATGTCGATCTTCCTCAATCAGCTTACGCACAGCATCAACTTTTTCTTGGGTGACTGCAGTTTTTGGACGACCTTGACGGGGATCATCACTGAGCTTGACACGTCCACGTTGAAATTCAGCAAACCAGCGATAAATTGTGGTTTTGGATGGGGCTTCATCATCAAATGCAGAAATCATCCAGTCAACACACTGTTTTTATGTTAAACCACTTCGAAAGCCATAATAAATCATCGCTCTTGAATTTTCTCGAGTCAATTCCATTTTCTCAACGACTAAACAAATTTGACAAAACCTTGTGACATGACCGAGAATCTTTTTTTAAATAAATAAATGGTATTCAATTTTAAAACACCAAGGACTTTTCAATTAAAAAGATTTTAATATCACAGCAACAGTGGAAATATTCCATTCCCGATACTTTTAGTGCAGCCTATGTAATGTTTGACCTGACTTAAGCGTTGAAGTCGGACCGAAGATCCAGAGTTGCTTCTCTCCAACGGTGGTAGTTCACTTTATCCGACCTCAAGTCTGACGTCACTTCACTATTTCAGTTTATCTACTTTATTGTACACTATTTCAATCCATCAACTTGGTTGTACATTTAATTAACTTCAAACTCAACTAAATCCCCGTTAATCGTAA